GAAGACATTTACAATACACATAACTGAAGGAAGGGTAAATATATAAAGAACTCCCATGAATCTATTTGAAAAATCTACAGAAATGTGGAAATATCAGCAGAAGTTTGAACAGGTAAGTTGTAAAAGAGGGCAGTTGAATACTACATTTTTTAAAAAGGTTAAAGACTCATGAATTTTATGAGTTTAGTATGAATTTTTGAGTCAGAAAAATTAAAGTTGATACAAAGATAGCATTACATATACCTAATGTTGGCAAACATTTATAATTTGGACTATACTATAGGTTGGCAGGAAAATGGAGCAACAGGAACTCTCATATATTGTGAAATGGGTAAAACATCATTAGAAAAGTGTTTGGTGTTGCCTTGTAAATCTATGTCCCTAGGTAAGTGCTCTAGAAAACCTCTTGATATTATTTCAAATATACACCAACAAGTAGGATAGATAAATAAATTGAGGTCCAGTCTTTTAATGGAATATTATACAACAATGAAAATGAACTAATAACAACCATATGGAACAAGGTGAATAAATCTCACAAATAATACTGAGTGAAAGATACAGGGCTCAAAAAGTGCATATAGTTTGATTCCATTCATGGAGACCTCAGAAAGAAAATCAATGTCTTATCTTGCTAGTAGATATAAACTTTGGTGATGAAATGATAAAGAAAAGCTACAAAATACTTTTCATCAAATAGGACCTTTTACATAGAGAAGAGGAGACATGAAGTGGCAAACAGGTGTTTGATGTCAAAAATATTTTGTTCCTTAACTTACTGTTTAATAAGAGTGCTTTTCTATTATTATTCTTTAATTGTGTGTTTTTCATGTATTATATAATTTACCACATAAATCACCAGTAGAATGTCAGATCATGTTATTCCTTCGCACAAAACACTCTAGTGTTCTCCATCTCACTAGCAACCCAAATTATGTTGGCTAGTGATTATCTTCTACTTTGAGAATCTACTTTTAATTTTTTTATACTTCTTGAAGTCTGAGAGTGTTCTATACGTGATAGCTTTGACTTTTAGTAGTTTCAATCTGTGCTTTATTTCTGCTAAGGTCAGTTACAATTCTGCAATAGTGCTTCATTTTTCTGTGCTCTGATTTTATTGCCTTTATTTCCTTGACTTCTTTTGCAACCTTGCAACTGCTCCTTGTTACCTATTAATTTTATCTGATTTTATTACACTTTTTTGCTCATTTCTCACCTTTTCTTATGTTCTATTCTGAATGCAAATCAACTTTGTGAAAATTTTCTTCTGGATCCTATACAATCCTCTACTTGAGTGATAGTGATAGAAACGGTAGCAATAATGACAATAAAGAAACACGGGTACTTATCTTTTCTTAAAAACATTTTATCTTCCATCACTATATTATACTAAGAACATTATATCCATTGTTTCATTAATTATTTAAAACATCACTATATTATATTTATTATCCTAACTCTAGCAATGAATCATATAAATCTGAGGAAGGTTGAATACAAAACTTCCGTAGTGGTGGAGGGTTGACTTATACATTTATCTGACTTTGGAATCTCTGCTCCTAAATTTTGTCTTAGACTACCATTAGGCTTAAATTATGCTTGAAATTGGAACTTCTGAAAATCTAACAATAGATTTGCTTGTAACCAAGAGAGCTTCAGTTTAAAACAAGCTAAATATAAAATCCCTATGTGTCCTCTTTCTTTCTACTCATATATGGAATTTTCTTTCTCTCTCTAGATGAATACAGTTAGATTTTGGTCTTGAGCAAATATGAAATAAGTATTATTTTGCCCTCCTCACTGAGTTACTTAAACCTGAACACTAGAGATGTCATATTCTCCTGGTTGTCTACTTGGTATAGCCTCTGAGTCATGGGCTAGATGGAGAAGGACTTAGGGGTTCTCAGTTATTTTCTGACTAGATAGATGTTTCATGAAGCTAAACCAAGTTTTGAAGCATCAATTGATTTTCCTCAACCCTGGTCCATATAATTTACAATAAATTCAACAATTACTAGATTCTAGAGTAAATTTGTCATTCACGGTAGGGATTTCCTACCATGATCCTGACTGGCATTTTAATAAAGAATTTTGGAGATAGCATATTAGAGACTACTAGGAAGAAGTGATTTTAAATCAAAAGTTGATTCTTTCTCCAAGGCTACAATTTGGTTTTATATTGCTTTGCTCTGTGTAGACACCATTGTGTATATTATTTATGTGGACAGGCTGTCTCTCCAACTAGATCATTGGCAACTTCAGAGTATGGTTTGAACTCCCATTTCTCTTGGTTTCCGTGAGTAAACAGTTTCATAATTCGCATGAAGTAAGCATTCAGTAATACCTTTTGGGCAGAGGGGGATTCTCTTTTTTCCATTCTTGATTTTTCTGAAATTCTTATGGGATTCATATTATTCACTTTCTATGAAATTAAGAATACAGAATGAATTCAAAAATATTCTCTATAATTCAGGGTTTTAATGGAACAGAAGAGAGGAAAAAATGTCTAGTAAAAAAGCTCTTTGTAAATTATGTACAAAACTAGCCATCTGACATAATAACCAGAATGCCTGGCCTAAAATGGGTATCATCTAAAATATGTTGAATTAAGAATTGTGAGGAAAGAAAATACTTGGTACTTTATTCATATTATTCAATAATATTCATGTCTGACCTATTCAGCTGCATGCTTGTTATTTTTTCAAATCATGTGTAATAATCCAAGTTTGGGAGATATGAAAAAAACATTGTTTTTCCAATTGACACTGTTTTGGACAGGATGAAATGCTATTTAATGTACTTGTCAAATAAATAGAAAGCACAAAATTGTGAACTGATAATATCATAGTCTGTCCTCATTTCTAAGATATTTACTATTGATGCTTCATAGGCAAAAATCTCATTTAAAGAGCTCATTGTTTTGATTGAGTTCATCTGGAAAATCGCATACACTGTGACCTATTTAGAAAATAATTTAGCTGTGAGTGATGATTGCTATTTGCCAATGATAATGGAAAGACAGTATTTCTTTGGTATTTTGCCAACTTTTAAGTCATATTAGAAAAATTTACAATAGTCGATCGTTTCTTTCAAACTAGAAATATAGGAGGCTTCATACATAAGTAATAAGATCAAGCTTCTGAATTTGGAAATTAAGAACCGTTATAAATTATCAATAATTTGTGTGTGAAAAAAGACATCTATGATATGTGAGCAGTGCTGAGACATTTAGATAACTAAAATCCATTCATGAGTAGGTTACCATAACCTCAAAAGTATATCTACACATAGTAAAGAGACAAAAATACTCTAAGAATTAAATCTTAATATATCCTGGTAACCTGGTAAGTCTCACATTCTACATGAGAAAGAATGACTCTCACAAGGCTGAATTAGAGGTAGTAACCATAACATTTTATGAGACTTAAAACAAGCTAATTGTGGATTCTTTTCACATTCCACATTTTAAACTTACAGACTCAGATCAGGCTGGAGTAGGAAAAAACAGAATTAGGGTGAGAGGATTACACTTTACGGAGAAACATAAGTCTTGTATTTGTAATCTCCATGTCTTTAGATATTTATGTGGAAGTCACAAATGATTTCAGTATCTACATCAATAAGTAGAATTTATTATTTTCAGATACATTTAATGTTTATTGATATTACAAATAGTTATTATCTGAGACATGTACCCTTTTATTTATATCAGGAATCAATTATTTAACAGAAAGAAAGAAGTCACTTGTTTAAAAAATGTTCCCTGACTCACAATATTCTGTAATAATATGATGTTTTATCTGTGGAAGGCTAAACCTTCCCTGGAAGAAGAAGCTATAAGAAATAATCTGCCTAATGGAGATCACAGCTTCAGTGCCCAATAGGTGACCAAATTGCCACAGCCTTGCACTGAGTTCATCACTCCTCTGCCATGTTACCTTCTCTCTTCACTATTATAGTGAATTGATGTCTCCACGGAGTCAGTAAGCAGCCCGGGAATTTTGAGTTATTCTCGGCACATAGAATGTCACCAAATTATATAAATTGTACATTTTCACTTCTTATGAATCTGTCCCCTCATATCATCCCTATAGTAGAGTGTTTGTCCATGCCCTCATCATCTTTTTGTGCTAATGAAATGTCCTTCTAATCATCCATCAGTCATTCTACTACTCTACCTAATGGCTCCATGTCATAAGTGGACAAAGTAGAAAATCATAAAATTGGCCATAAAAGGTCCATAAGATCCTACGTAATTTGGCCCCTGTCTGCTTCTTTCATCTGATTTTTTTCCAACCTCTAACATTTGAACAGCCATTTCAAATGTCATAATTTCCTAATCACACCAGGCTGGCTCCTGACTTTTTTCTGTCTCTCTATCTCTCTCTCTCTTTTTTTTTTTGAGACTGAGTCTCACTCTATCATCAGGCTGGAGTGCAGTGGCCCAATCTCGGCTCACTGCAACCTCCACCTCCCGGGTTCAAGCGATTCTCCTGCCTCAGCCTCCCAAGTAACTGGGATTACAGGCACCCACACCCGGCTAATTTTTGCATTTTTAGTAGAGACGGGGTTTCACCGTGTTGGCCAGGATGGTCTGGTTCTCTTGACCTCGTGATCTGCGTGCCTCTGCCTCCCAAAGTGCCTCTGTTCATGTTGTTCTTTGCTGAAAGTTATCTCTACTCCCCACCTTTCTTCACAATGCCCCTCTCTGGCTGGGAGACACATGCAGTACTCATTTGTTAACATTCGGCTCAAATGGAAAAAACTGACCATTCTTTCTTATGCATCTGTATACATACAGTCTTTCCTCAGCAGCTGTAGCACTTTACTGCATATGCCTTTCTACTCGTCTATTTTTCCAGGTTGAAATGAACGCCTTTCAAGTGTAGATCCTCTGTTTTATTCATTTTTATCATCTTCAAAATTTGCAGTTTTAGAAAAGTAGTAGGTGCTTTTAAAATGCTTACTGAATTAATGGTTAAAGTAACAAAAATCAATACCTGGGTTTTAAATGGATATTTCAGGTGGAAGTCATATTTTTTGATGACTGTTAAGAGACATTGTCTGGAAAATAAAAAATAGAAACTTTATTTAAAATTGGATGGGAAAACTTACATTACCTTTAGCACAAACATTTATCACAAATTCTGTTTTGCCCATGATACTATCGTAGGCATGGTATAAAAAGGATTATTGTTGACATAATTTTAAAAACATCTCAGAAGGGTACCTTATAAAGTTTGTATAACTTGATAGACTACAAACATATTTGAAAGTCTTAGAACTCCAAAGAATTAATGATAAATTAACCAAACCTCTCAAAGGCTGATCATTATATAAAAGTACTCTTAATTCAAACTGTAAGTTGCAAAGGGATTCATAAGCAGATAATGGCATATATTAACATCAAGAAATATTAAGTATGCAAAATCTTGTAGATAATTGCATTTGGAATTAATGGCTTATATTTATAATATATGGGGTTGTCTCTGACACCAAACCTCTGCATTTTTCTTTCCTAAGCTTCTCTTATTGCTCCAGCTTTATCTATGCTTAGGGAGAAGCCATGCAATTTGAGCAGAAATTCTTCTGAGCTTCGCTGTTCAAAAATTATTTTCCCAAACATTATTGACTTTACCTTCTTATTTGTCTTGAAAACTCCTGACTTAAATTGAAACATAAGTCACACAACTCAAAAACGCAACATGAAAAAATACAGCATTATTTTTACAGTAGCTGCATTCTCATTTTTTTTACATTATCACTTTAGTTGAAGTCCCTCTGTCAGTTCAAAGACAAAATGCATAGAATATGTAAAAGTCAATGAAAGGGGAGGAAAATAATAACTAAAGATTTGGGCAATGGCAGTGTTTTATATAAAACCTGAAACTACTAGTATCACCAAGAATGTACCCACTTCAGCACTTTGTTTTTGGATATTGTATCTATTTTATAGAAAAAACTACTAGGAACTAGTGAAGGTGAGTGATTTGCTCAACTTCTAAGAGGAAGTTGAGTCATAAAAGAGAAGAGCTGAAATCAAAGCCCTTGCCATCCAGTGCTTGATTTTTTTGATGACCCAATACGGTGTTCTGAGGAGGGCAGGCAGGGAAGCGTTGTATCCCCAAAAGTAAAGTTCTACAGTGGCCTTTATAAGGCTGAGAATGTCTCTGTGTTAGATACCCTTTGAGAAAGATAAGGGGGGAAGGGTCAGAACATGATGGAAGTGTAATAAGCACTGACTGAGAGTTAGATACTTGGTTTTAGTCATGGCTATGGGATTAAATATTTGTGTGATGGTTGCCAAGTTTTTGAACTTCTGTTTTTAGTTTCCTTACCACAGAAGAAATAGCGCTGGGAGATGGTATCACCCCAGACTGTAATCCACTGCCCTGGGATTGGAGGGAGGGGTGGAGGCATAAAGTCTGAAGCTAGGCTGTCCCAGACATGTTTCCTCTACTCCTTGCTACAGCAGAACTTTGCTTTGCCCTGCATTAACCCTCTGGACCCCTGCAACTGCACACTGGCCATCAAATGTCTGCTAGGGGGCAGGCAATGGCAGGGGTAAGACAAAAACAGAATGAAAGCCTCCTTCTCTCACTGTCTTCTCACAGCCTTGACTTGCCTCTCTGTCCCCAAGGTAGTAGTGACTTAAAAGGTGCAACAACCCTCCACCAACCCTTTCAAAATAGTCCTTTGTGTCCCAAGGATTTCCTGCTTTTTGAAAAACTTCTCATATTTGAGGTGTATGTCTGTTTCTCTGCCTTTCTCTCTGTTTCCCCCGCCCCTGGGTAGATTTATTTTGGAAAAAGGAAACTACAGACCTTGTTTATATGTTATACAACAGAAATCTATGGTGGAATCCTGTAATTATCTATAAAATGAAAATTGGTGTTAGATTATGTTTAAAGTCCTTTCTAGTCCTAGCCATTCTATGATTTTATGGAGTGAAGATGGATATTTTTAGGGAGAAGGGTGGCAGAGAAGGGCACATGGAAAAACACAATAGTTTAATGAAAGAAAATATCCTTTGTAAATTTCAGGCAGACCTGATTGTAGCCCTGCCACTGATGACCAGAATGGCCTTAGGAGAGTTATTTAGCCTCTCAGAACTTCAGTTTCTTTAGTTTTGAAACAGGATAATATGTATTATCACAGAGTTTTAGAAAGAATTAGATGAGATAATATATATAAATATATAATAATAACTTCACAATATCATTACCCAACATAGTCACTAAAGCCAATTTTAGCTCATATTTTTATTTATGTTTTAAACTTAATTTTATTTTATTATTTTTTAAATTAATTAATCAATTTGTTTTTTGAGATGAGGTCTCACTCACCTCAAAAAGATGAGGTTGCCCAAGCTGGAGTACAGTGGCGTGATCTTAGTTCACTGCAACCTCCACCTCCTGGGTTCAAGTGATTCTCCTGTCAGCCTCCCGAGTAGCTGAGACTACAGCACATGCCACCATGCCTGGCTGATTTTTGTATTTTTAGTAGAGTTAGGTTTCACTATGTTGGCCAGGCTGGTCTTGAACTCCTGACCTTGTGATCCGCCTACCTAGGCCTCCTAAAGTGCTGGGATTACAGGCATGAGCCACTGCGCCTGGCCAATTTTATTTTATTTTAAGTTCCAGGAAACGTGTGCAGGACCTGCAGGTTTGTTACATAGGTAAACATGTGCAATGGTGGTTTGCTGAACCTATCAACCCATCACCTAGGTATTGAGCCCTGCATGCATTAGCTATTTATCTTGATGCTCTCCCTCTCCAACAACTCTGATGGGCCCCAGTGTGTGTTGTTCCCCTCCATGTGTACATGTGTTCTCATTGTTCAGCTCCTACTTATAAGTGAGAATGTGTGGTGTTTTGTTTTCTGTTTCTGTGTCAGTTTGTTGAGGATAATGGCCTCTACCTCCATCTATGTCCTGCAAGAGACATGATCTCATTCCTTTATATGGCTGCATAGTATTCCATGGTGTATATGTGCCATTTCTTTATCCAGTCAATCACTGATGGGCATATGGGTTGATCCCATGTCTTTGCTATTGTAAATTTAGCTCATATGTTATATCAGGCTTTACTTTAGAGATGTATGACCTGTATCTCCCACACTACATTTTCTCCTGGTTCAGCTCACAACAGCCTTAGTTGTAGATATACCCAAACTCCCAGTTTAGCTACCTGATAAGTCTGTTCTTCCAAATAATACATGCATACATTTAGATATAAGAATAAAGTAGGATATGTTCACTTGTTTTCACTCGAGTTTTCCAATTTGAATTTACACTCCTCTATTTATGATATACCATTTATTTTCAGGGATTTCAGAAACAAATTAAGTAGGAGATGGTTACCTTCGAAGTATTAAACTTGTTTTACAAAGAGCTTAAGTGACATATGCAAACCCAAATTCACAAAATGAATCAGGAAAACAAGTCCTTGAAAATGTAATAACCAGCAGCAGAGATTTTTTTAAATGGATGTTAGAATGTTCTGCAAAGTGTTAGCAACTCTTCAGATATATCTGAACAACTTTGAAGAATGGATAATTATTAACAGAATGTGCCTATTAAAAGAACATTAGCTTCCTCAGTCCCAGTGAAAGGACAGTTTTTACAATCAACTGAAAAATACTGAGATTTGACATTTGAGAATTCAATCAGAAAGTAATCTTGCAACAAATATAAAATGTCTTACCTCGATACTTTCCAAATATGCATAAATTCTAGAAGTTGGTTCAGATAAAACTGACTGTGGTCCTCTTCATGCTGTAGACAGCAGAATATATTAATATTTATAGAGTGAATAGAAATGAGTACCAGATAAAAATAGGTCCGTAACTTCCTGCTGCCATTTTATTCACCTATTTTGATAACCCTCATTCATCACGTTTATATTTTTTCTTAAAGACCTTACAAGACTCTCCTTTACTATATAAGCCTTTTCAAAAGTAAAGCAGAAAGCTTAGTTTTGGTTGAGAATAAGCCTAAAAAACAGTTGAAAAACATCATGGCATCAACCAAGGTCAAACACTAAATTTTCCTACTAAGTAGGAAGGTAGATTTTTAGGCACCACTTCTCCCACATACATGAACTTTTTTTTTTTTTTTTCATATTTAGGCTATGCATGCCATGGCAGTGTAAAGCCTGACATTTTGCCAGATGGGCGAGCAGACACATAATCAACTCCTTCATTTTTCAGCTTCACCACATCTTGCTGCCAAAATGTCAGTATAAGAAAGCTTTCCGTTTCATGAGCACTAAATTATGCTAATTAATGACAATTACTGGAAGGTATAAATTCTAGGAGTTAGTTGGCATTTTGTTTTCTTCCTATATAAGCATGAACTACTCATCTTAAAATATCATGCCTATGGCCTATATGTGTGTGCACACAACACACGCACACACACACTCATACCTTAACTTCTTGACTAGTTTTCCTGCAACAGGGCATTCATGAAAACCCTTTGCAAGTATGCAGAGAATGCAGTATGTCTTATCATAATTGCACTATTTCACCACACAGTGGCATTAAGGTTGAGATCTGAGTGAGTCCCTTAATGCCTGGGGTGTATGTAATCTTGTGTGTCAATAAACACAGTCTATTTTTAAAACTGACTATTAGAGATTCAGACAGTAAACATCAGAAGGCAAACCTTTATATGGCCCAATGTCGAAGGTAAATTAATTTTTATATTGGTTTGTTTTGTGAAGAGGAAGAAGGAAGCTAAGTTAGATGGAAAGAATAAGGTCACTGTTATAAAACAGTATTTTGACTACATGCTGTGAAAAAGAAACACTATGTAGAATGGCTGAGAAATGAAGATGTGAGTCTAACCTTCTAGAAATTTACATATAGAGTCACTGGGACAGCTAAAATAAAAAGTGTGATAGTGACAAGACAACTTTTTTCTGCAACAGAGAAAGCTAAACTGTAGTCATGAAAAGCATAGTAAAAGAAGAGGGAAAACAGAAAGTGAAAAACAGAGTAAAAATAAAAAAGTAAGATTTGAACTGTAATATTTGGCACTTGCCTTCTTTCAGAAGTTAAAACCAAAGCAAGAATATAAAGAATATACTTTTTACATATTTCTAGGAAAGTATAATCATATTCATTTAAAAACCAATTTATTTGGTTTCCAGAAATATTTTCAGTATTTGCCTTAGTACCTTTTACTAGAAATTTTTTTTCAATTTAAATACCTCCATAGGCTGGAGGAAAAATAACTTTGTAAGCTACATGTATTGGAAACATTTTTTTGTTAAATTATTAACAGATCTTGAAGAAAAACAAAAGCTGGAGGAAAATTCCTGTAATGGTCCATGAAAGATAGTGTGAATTTAACTTTTCCCTAAAGCTGAAGTCATACCTTGGCCTTAAGGAAAAAGGAAAAAGTTAAAAATTTTTTTTCTCATACAAAAATCTATTGCTGTAAATGTTCTGTGAATGTTCCCCTGAGCTATAAGAAAATCTTGATTTTATGATTAATATCTACAATGTTGGCAATATTTTTGATCAAATTTGAGATAGATAAAAAAGGAAACAAATTTTAAAATATTAAGTTTTTCATAGCTAATCAAGGTAGCAGATTTAAAATTTTGAAACCCTGGATGATTTCTAAAGATCATCAACCTGCTTTTTATTATTTATTTATTTATTTATTTTTCGAGATGGAGTCTTGCTGTCACTCAGGCCGGACTGCCAATGTGTGATCTTGGCTCACTGCAACCTCTGCCTCCAGAGTTCAAGCAATTCTTGTGCCTCAACATCCTGAGTAGCTGGGATTATAGATGCGCAACACCAGGTCCAGCTATTTTTTGTAAAGATGGGGTTTCACTATGTTGGCCAGGGTGGTCTCAAACTTCTGATCTCAGGTGATCTGCCCGCCTTGGCCTCCCAAAGTGCTGGGATTAGAGGCCTAAGCCACTGCTCCTGGCCTTTTTTTTTTTTTTTTTTAGAACAACTTTCTTGTTCTCTTGAAATATGGATTAAATTATTCTATTTCAGTGTAATATTATCAAGTTTAAAATAAAAATATTATCTAAGATGAATTGAGCTTTGCACAATTAGAAAGCTCTAAAGTATCTACTGCAAGGCAATGGTATCAATAAACTTAACATAATGATGATAGTCATATTCCTAGTATTATGTGAAAAAGAATACTATCAAGACAATTTTACAGTTTTATTAGAAAGATTATAATTGTTCATAAATGTTTTACTTACAGCTGAAATCCTGAAAATTACAGAGAATTTTGACACCACTATAAAAAACAAAACTGAGAGAACATTTGCTATCTCCTTATGATGTATATGTAAAATTAAAAATACGAATCAAGGGTTACTTATTTTAAATAGGGCAATTCAGAAAATTTTAAATAGGGCAATTCAAATAATGAAGATGAGACACAAGTTGATAAAACTGTTTCAGTTATATTAAGTTAATCAATAAATCATATATGTCTTAGAAATAAAATTTTATAAAACTTACCTCAAAACCAAACCAATTATCAGTTTATTTTTATTTTCTTGTTACATATAGAAATTTCAATTAAGACTAAAATTTATCCTGCTTATGGGTATGAAAGCTTACAAGAAAAATTGTGATTTATTAAAATTGTTGATATATCAACAAAAGTCATGATACTGCAGTATATATACTATTTTGACATAACACAAAAATGTCCATCTCTCTCAATATTTGCAACATCATAAGTAAATTTCTAAATGTTTTAATGCAAATTAATGTTAATAATGTTTTAGAATTTTTAATTGTAAAGGACCAAAATAGCACACAGTGAAACATCCAATTTTATGACATCAATAGCTAATACTTAGGTAGTCATACTAGGTGCTGGCACTGACTTAAGCTCTTTGTTTATATTTTGTTGTGGGAAGCCAGGGACCCCAAATGGAGGAACCAGCTGAAGCCACAACAGAAGAACATAAATTGTGAAGATTTCTTTTTTTTTTTTTTTTTTTTTTTTTTTTTGAGACGGAGTCTTGCTCTGTATCCCGGGCTGGACTGCAGTGGCCGGATCTCAGCTCACTGCAAGCTCCGCCTCCCGGGTTTACGCCATTCTCCTGCCTCAGCCTCCCGAGTAGCTGGGACTACAGGCGCCCGCCACCTCGCCCGGCTAGTTTTTTGTATTTTTAGTAGAGACGGGGTTTCACCGTGTTAGCCAGGATGGTCTCGATCTCCTGACCTCGTGATCCGCCCGTCTCGGCCTCCCAAAGTGCTGGGATTACAGGCTTGAGCCACCGCGCCCGGCCGTGAAGATTTCATAGACATTTATTAGGTCCCCAAATTAATACTTTTATAATTTCTTATGCCTGTCTTTACTGCAATCTCTGAACATAAATTGTGAAGATTTCATGGACACTTATCACTTCCCTAATCAATACCCTTGTGATATCCTATGTCTGTCTTTAATCTCTAAATCCCATCATCTTCCTAAACTGAGGAGGATGTATATCGCCTCAGGACCCTGTGATGATTGCATTAACTGCACAAATTGTTTGTAGAGCACGTGTGTTTGAACAATATGAAATCTGGGCACCTTGGAAAAAGAACAGGATAACAGCAATGTTCAGGGAACAAGGGAGATAACCTTCAACACTGACTGCCGGTGAGCCAGGAGGAACAGAGCCATATTTCTCTTCTTTCAAAGGTAAATAGGAGAAATATCGCTGAATTCTTTTTCTCAGCAAGGAACATCCCTGAGAAAGAGAATGGTCCCTAAGGGTAGACCTCTGAAATGGCTGCTTTGGGGGTTGCTGTCTTTTATGGTCAAAGACGAAGGGATGAAATAAGCTCTGGTCTCCTGTAGCGCTCCCAGGCTTATTAGGATGAGGAAATTCCTGCCTAATAAATTTAGGCAATTTAATTCCTGCCTAATAAATTTAGGCCTAATAAATTTGGTCAGACCGGTTGTCTGCTCTCAAACCCTGTCTCCTGATAAGATGTTATCAATGACAATGCGTGCCCGAAACTTCATTAGCAATTTTAATTTCACCCTGTCCTCTAGTCCTGTGGTCTCACCCTGCCTCCATTTGCTTTGTGATATTTTATTACCTTGTGAAGCATGTGACCGCTGTGATCCACACCCTATTCGTACACTCCCTCCCCTTCTGAAAATCAATAATAAAAACTTGCTGGTTTTACGGCTCAGGGAGCATCATGAAACCAGCCGACATATGATGTCTCCCCTGGTCACCCAGCTTTAAAATCTCTCTCTTTTGTACTCTTTCCCTTTATTTCTCAGACCAGCCAACACTTAGGGAAATAGAAAAGAACCCATGTTTAATATTGGGGGGTGGGGTTTCCCCCGATATTTTATTTCCCCCAATAATATTTCTCAATTGAGTTCTCATAATAACTACATTAGGTAAGAACTATCATTATTCACATTTTTAGATGAAGAAATTCAGGTACAGAGAATTTAACAATTTGCCTAAAAGTGAACATTTGAAATTGAGCAATATGAAACCAGAATTTTTGCTTTTTTATAGAAGGCTAAATGAGCAAATTTAATATTCCTCATTTCTAAAGATCAGAGCTAGGCCTGTGTGCTCCAGGATTTAGACAGAAAAGCAAGTACCATCACTAGCCCCTCTTATTCATCCGCATTAGGTGCTTCTCTCAACTTTTAGAGCTGGCTATATATTCTTTCAGAGCACATAACTCTACATTCATTGTATACATTTGTTTATTGTCTGTCTCTCAACTAGGATGTGAACTCTACATTCTAGAAAACGCAAGTACTATGAATGGCATGTAACAAGTTTTATTTGTTAAATGAATCAATTGTTATTAGGTTGTATATACTGTATAAAGTACTTATCCCAGTTCCTGGAAGTAAATCCTTAAAGTTTTAATAAAATATAATAATCTTCCCCTTTGAAATGCAATGTAAAAAAAAAAAAAAAAATCCTGAAAGAATCAAGACTTGGACCAGGTGCGGTGGCTCACGCCTGTAATCCCAGCACTTTGTGGGGCTGAGGCAGGTGGATCACGAGGTCAGGAGTTTGAGACCAGCCTAATCAACATGGTGAAACCCATCTCTATGAAAAATACAAAAATTAGCCGAGCATGGTGGCATGTGCCTGTAATCCCAGCTACTCAGGAGGCTGAGGCAGGAGAATTGCTTGAACCAGAGAGGCAAAGGTTGCAGTGAGCCAACATCATGCCACTGCACTCTAGCCTGGGCAACAGAGCGAGACCCCATCTCAAAAAAAAAAAAAAATCAAGGCTTAGAGAGATGGAGATACAGAATGCCTTTTTCATATTCTGCATGGAAGTTACCATTGCTTTTTAATTGGAAATCGGTGCCATTTGCATCCCCTGAACCCCTGAGGGCTGAGATCTTATTGATATTGCTCACTACTCTACCTACACATTAGTGTAGGGCCTAATAGACAGCAGTTACATAGCAAATACTTATTGCATGAATGGAGGATATACAAATATATAAATATATTTGCCATCAAGTGTATTATCCATTTATTATTATTATTATTATTATTATTTTGAGACAGAGTCTAGCTCTGTCACCCAGGCTGGAGTGCAGTGGTGCAATCTCGGCTCACTGCAACCTCCGCCTCCCGGGTTCAAGTATTATCCATTTTAAACAACAGCATCAATATTAGCAAAAGTTGTGGATAAGAAAAGGCATTTATACTTTTTGCCTATGAGTTGTTGAATTATCCAAGAATCGGTGATATTTATTATAGGATGGACAAGCTTGTAAATTGAATCATGAAGCATCAAAAAGAACCACGTAACTTAATTCCCACTGTGATCCAAATGGCATATTGAAAAACAGGCATTTCTGATGAGAACTACACATTATACACCCAGAGATAGCAATATGCTTGTCCCTGGACATGATAACAATGGTGATGACAGCAATATGATTATCTCACATTTTTTTTTCTCAACACTGAGGGTAATTTGGAGAATCTTAAGTTTAATATTGACAGAGTCAGTTGCACTATATAACTGCACTGGTCAACATTATCATATAGTGTGATCTGTAGGCAGATTAGTTTTGCTCTGATCTCATCACCCTTATTTACTAGCTGTGAGACTTTGGATGATTTAAATAATCTCTTAACTTTTCAGTTCTTTTATTTTTATAAGATAGAAAAATAGTTGTATTTATTCTTTGCTCTTGGGCTACTATCAATTAATTCATTTAAAGCACTAAGAACATCAATTGGCACCTAATATATACATAATATTGTTAGTTATCAATCACCTGTCATGCCCCAGACTTTGAGCTACATGGATATTAGCTGTGGAAAAAAATTACACACACAGACACACACACACACACACACACACACGTGCCTGCATAAAGCTAGAATTTTGACCTGAAACACACATCCAAAACCTTTGAGAATATACTGCAAATTCTGAGCATATTTCCCATATAAGTTGGTAGGAATGCATGGGCTCCGAAGACTCACTGACTGTGCTCAAATCTATCCTTCTTTGCCCATCAGTTTCATGATTTTAATCTTGGGAAAGTCTTGATTCCTCCCTGTGATACAGTTTCCTTATTTTTAATAGTGTTTACCTTATAGAATTATTGAAAAGATTAAATGTGATAGAAATGTTAAAGTCTCAGACATTAAATGTATGCCCTATATCAGAATAATAGAGTTACATGAGTTTTTAAACAGACCTTAATTTATATGAGTCTGAAATGTTAGTGATTTGTTAATTACTACCAATAAGTTATTATTCTAGCAGCATCCAAATTAGAATCATATATTTTATCTTCTTCCCCCATGCTCCAATGAAATATGATGATTTCAACTTTTTTTCTCAACATTGAGGGCAATCTGAAGAATCTTAAGTTTAAAACTGACGGGGTCAGTTGCACTTTATAATATGTTTTCCTGGAGATTTCAGATGTATAGCCTTGGAGCTGTCAACAGCAGCTAAGTTGAACACAAGATCCAAAAAATATTTCTAAACAACTCTCTTTTGGCCTCATTATGTTATTTTCCATGTAGATATATTGCAACCTAATGTACTACCTGAAATATTCTTATGATGAAACACTTCATACTAGAAAAAAAAGAAATCATCCACTGGAAATCTGTTAACTAATATAAATGACAGGGTGAGAGGATTTTTGCTTAAAGTAAGTAATTTAAGATTCTACAGATAAAAACTGCCATAATATCAAAGTTCAGTGCATACTGTGCAATTTGAATTGGAAGTAACTCACAACATGACACAGGGAGTAAAATTCACATCTAACAGCATGAAGCTGTATCATTAAAGCATAGTCATCCTTTTCTAGGGAGCTTTATTATATATATTATGAAAGTTTATCTGTGCTAATTTAAGCTGTGTTGACATAAACAGTCTTCACAGAAAACAAGTTATTTTTCTGCCTTTAGTGATTCCCCATTACATTTTCTCTTTCATTTACTTCTAAGAAGATAAGTGAAAAGTATAAATATGATAACCTTAATAAGTGTCTCACAAATGATTTTGGAAAGAAACCAACAGATTTGTTATACTCAGTGTATTAGTCAGACTGGGCTGCTATAACAAAATACCAGAGACCAGGCGGCTTAAACAACGTACATTTATTTCTCTTCATTCTATAGACTTCAAGTTTATAATCAGGGTCAGGGCCCTTTTCCTGTGTGCAGACAGCTTCCTTCTTGCTGTATCCTAACATAGTGAGAAGAAAGAGGAAAGGGTGATAGAGAGGGAGGAGGGAGAAAGAGAAAGACAGAGCACTCTAAACTCTTTTTGTAAGGGCACTTACCACCTCATCATAAGGACTCTGTTTTTATGATTTCATCTAAAACTAAATACCTCCTAAAGACCCCACTTCCTAATACTATCACCTGGGGCCTCAACTTACGACTTTTAGGGGGACACAAACATTCAGTCCATAACACTAAGATTACAGTAATGCGTTCATGTTATTGCATCAGTTCAAATCATTAACAGGTATTTATATTTATATATTTCATCATTTTTCAATGAATATATTTAAATAAACATGTATTAATTAAGCTATATAATTCCAAATTGGCAATAGTTCAAAAATTAGAAATATTGTCCTTAAAACAGTCAGTTTGCTAGTTGAAACCAAAAGTAAGAAAGTCTTACCTTTCGAGATAGCTTTCCTGGAGCTTCCCTACTTTTCTGCAGTTGGAGTTGAATAACAGATTTATCTTTTTGAAACATTTTGTGGCTCCCCAAAGAGTGATCGCTGAAAGAGAAAAAATGAACACAATCACATCCTCCCATAATAGCCCCAAATATGTGTTTTCCTCTCTGACTTCATTTTCTTTTATTTTTGGAACTTAGTTTGGTAAAAGTAAGCTGAGAGTGTGTGTGTGTGTGTGTGTGTGTGTGTGTGTGTGTTGTGAATATATATGCATTATATATTTTGTGTATAAATGAATAATATGAGAGGAAATATAAATACATAGATATAGATGAATAGTGAAATTATTTTTATGTGCATTGATAAGTTAGAAAATGATTAAATGATTAGACACCTTTAGAATTATCACAATAAATTTTAAATGATACTTTGCGTATTCTAAGTTAGTCTTACGCAGCCATCTCAGAGTTCAAAGCTGATGACAGCATGCTTCTGGGTGGTCTAACTGATGCCATTATGTCTGTGTGGGGACCTTATCTCACAGCAATGGGATGTGGTGAAAATGTCACGAGCTTTAGAGACAGATTTACGAGCTCGATGACCTTAGGAAGGCCAATTAAACTAAAACTATCTGAAACTCAATATTTTCTCTTGTAAGTTGGAATAGTAACGTCTACATCAAAGGGTTGACAAGCAGAATAAACAAAAAAAAATTATACCTATTTCAGAGATTTCTACTGGCATTATTTTATTTGTCTCCATTCCTTTCTCTTTCTTTTTTTCCTATAAATATTTACCAAGCACAAATTAACTGAAGAGCACAATGAATTACTCTTTTGCAACATATTGCTTATAAACACAATTTGATTATTCTGTGAAATGAAGGGCTTCTACTGTATAAGTCCCTTTACAGCTTTAAATTTTGATATCTCTGGTGACTCTTAGTCATTGAGAAAAGGATGAGTTATGTTAATGCACACTGTTCAAAGGGCCTTAAACATATGAAGGATTTCAGGAGAAAAAAAAAGTATATGAGATACTTGTAGTCCTTAAGATGATAATTTTACTTATATGGAAAATTCAGTAAATATTTGGGATAACTTGTTTCCAACAATGCCAGACAAATAGACCATTAATCTGCAAAATGAATGAACAAAAATATATAGAATTATGTAGAATAATTATATAGAATTTACTATACTATATAGTAAATTCTTTTTAAATGTTTCTATTTTAACATGTTGTTTTCAATACTTAAAAAAACTTAGTAACTACCTATCTACTAGCCAAAATGGTGAATGTTAGTGTGTTCATGACATATATTCAATGCCTATTCCTATCCTAACCGTTAGTCTAACCTAGATCCTTGTCCCTGGGATATCCATAGGGCTCTTACACTGTTCCCTGAGTTGTTTACATGGCCAATCTAGACAAAAGGCATGACCCCTGCTTTTCTTCACTTGTTCTTGAAACTGCCGATTTCTCCTTCCTCCTTCCCAAAGGTCTGCTTCAAGGGCCATCCTCACAATCTATCACATGTACTCAAGTTCCTGTCCTTTCATCTCCCTCTACTCAACTCCATGCTAAGAGCTCTGATTTCCTGTTCCTGCTATGGGAAATGACTTAAGAGTAGTGCTTTCAAAGATTCCTTTTCTCTGTATGTTGAAGTCTTGATTCTGCACTCTGACACCAGTGCAATGACTTCAGCCTCATGTATGGCTACTGCGTGCTTACTTAAAACTGACTTTCTTTATTTCATCCACCTGCGTGTATACTTTTTCCTAGAATTGCCAGATAATATACTGGATGTCTAGTGTGATGGTTAATATTGAGTGTCAACTTGATTGGATTGAAGGATGTAAAGTATTGTTCCTGGGTGTGTCTGTGAGGGTGTTGCCAAAGGAGATTAACATTTGAGTCTATAGATTGGTCAAGGCAGACTCATTCTTAATCTGGATGGGCATGATCTAAACAACTGCCAGAATGACTAGGTTAAAAGCAGGCAGAGAAACGTGGAAGGACTAGACTGGTTTAGCCTCCCAGACTACATCTTTCTGCCATGCTGGATGCTTCCTGCTCTCAAACGTCAGATTTCAAGTACTTCAGCTTTGAGACTCTTGGATTTTCATCCACAGACTGAAGGCCGCATTGTCAGCTTCCCTACTTTTGAGGTTTCAGGACTCAGACTGGCTTTCTTGCTCTTTAGCTTGCAGATGGCCTATTGTGAGATCTCCCCTTGTGACATGTGAGTCAATACACCTTAATAAACTCCTCTTTATATGTACATCTGTCCTATTAGTTTTGTCCCTCTAGAGAACACTGACTAATACATCTAGTATATATAAATTACAGAGAAACAATGAATGAATATTTTTAGTATATATTTCATATAGTATTTGATACATATTTATACTAAAGGTGTGTGTATATATATATGTACACATATGCTGTAGTATTAAAATTTATTTCCACCTGTTTCTTTGCATATTTTCATACCCATACACACACATACACACACCCCTTTATACCATATAGGTGTATATAGGTGTGTGTCTCTCTATATACATATAGAGATATTTAGATATAGATAGATGTATAGATATAATACTTTAATACTGTTTAGATGTGTGTGCGTGTGTGAGTGTGTGTGTATATATGTATATATACACCTTTATATAAGTATATAAATATATGTATATATACACGTTTAATATGACTATGCATAATATAATATATGAAACATATACTAAAAATATCTATGACTTTGAAATACAACTGAATAGCCTGTATTTTTATTTGCTACATCTGCCAATTTTACTGCTTTCAAAAACTAGGTCTTAGCTCTTTCCTTACCTTTGCTTCATTGTGTATGTCCGTGTGTGTGTGTGTGTGTGCGCGCGCGCGCGTGTGTGTGTGTCTGTATGTGTGTGTGTATGGAGTCTGGCACCATAATTATTAGATTTGGGTTAATAACAGATGTTGAAAAAGCATTTTTTCTCTATAATTTTTTTTCAAATTATATTATAGGAGTATATTCTCATGGGATACATCCAAATTGTACTCAACTCTACAAAATAAAAGAGATAAGAAAAAATTTCCCTTTCCCCTTTTCTGGAAAAATAATTCCCAAGAGCTTATTATACTTTCTTTGTAGGCTGAAATAAATAGGCAACACGCATATTTCTGTTATAAATGAGAGAATCTTATTTTAGTCATGTCTCTAGTCTATAAATTCCTTTTAATTCATTTTTGGGACTTTGACTTTTAATCAGAAAAGTCTCAACTATCCGAGACATAGTAGTGCCTTCTGCTATATTACTTTAGGTTTATATTAACTATATTTTTTCTTTTAGAATTATTTCCCTTCATGTGTTGGAGCTACTTGAGCCATTTTTGAGTCTCTTCTTTCTCTATTTATCTTTAGAGGCTTGAGATTCATAAACATATTTTCACTTTCTGGTGGTTGCCTTTTTTAAAGAAAATGAAACATATCTTAAAGCTTTTCTGTTGTAATCTCAATTTAATTACTATGTGACAGATACTCTGAAATAAAATTTAGAGCTTAATATGACTTCAATTCAGTTCTCTCTTAGAACCTTACAACTGCTCAAGTAGAGATCACTTCAAATATTAATTCCAGATTCTTTTATCACTTACTTAATGAAATATAAAAAGTAGTAGATTTGTTGATCAAAAAAGTTAAAGTTGGGAATTATAAAGAAGACAGATAGCTTAAAAATAGTTTATTTTTAAACTAAACAAAACTAAATAGCCTCTCACTAGCCAAAGGTCTGATATTAGCAGCAAGTCTTTGCTATTGGATGAAGGGTCAGTTGATAACAATTTTGTGTCATCTTTCTGATATAAAACGAATCTATAAGTAATTATCTTTAATTGCCTATTCTACTTTCTTAAATGTGGAGCAATTTCTCAGAGTCAAAGAACAACTTGATGGAAAATCACTTTAGATTTTTATAATTATTTTTCTAGTCTAAGTTGTTTCCTCATTGAATTCAACAACAATAGATTTTAATGACTCTATTAATTATCTTTAAAATTTTTTAACTCAATTTTCATAGAAACACTGACTTTCTTTGTTCACTCATATTTCATCATTCTGTAAATACTTCATTTATTTACCTAAATAAAATAACAATAGAACTGGCATAAAAATGTTCAGGAATAAACACAACTGACTCCAGGTACATTTACAACTCAACTTACAGCAGCAAAAGTGCATGGGCATAATATACTTTATAGTAAACTATTATGCTAGAGAAGCAGTTCTCCAAATGTTGTCTACAAAACCCTGGAGCTACAAGAGACACTTCCCGGGTGTACATGCACTTGTAGGAAATAAAAATCAGTGTCACTTAAAAATATCCTCGATAAAATGGTTAAAAATATTAATTTTGTTAAATCTAAATCCTTGAATACATGTGTCTTTAATTTTCTATATGAACATATAGGAAAAACAGTTAAAGCATTTCTGCATACTATAATATAGAAGTTGTCGTCAGGAAAAACCCTCTTGCAATTCCTTGAGTGGCAAGATAAGTAACTTTTTTCATGCAACAATTTTATTACATGAGAGAATTACAGAGAAGCCATGGTTATTCAGACAGGTGTTTGGCAGTCAAAAATGAACAAGCTAAGCTTGTCACTTTAAGGAAAACAACTTCAGAAATAAGAATTTTGTAAAATTTGTATTTTCTACTATGAGCTTGCCGGCTTGCCAATACATAAAGACTTTTCTGGTGAGAAAAATGTTAATATTAAAAAATGTACTTTTTGATATTTTATAATAAAATATGGCAACATTTGGAAGATCTGCAGAATCCAATGAACATATTTGTCTAAAGTGACAATCCATGATGCTTCAAATCTTGCATGGGTAAAAAGAGGTTTATCAATAGGGCAAGACAGACCAATGGACTCTAAGTAGCCTAGTGTGAAAATTATTGATATTTTAAAATATTCCACACTGTAACTAAATTTTAAAAGATTACTACTTATTGATTTTGGTGTAGTAATAAAGAAAGATATTCACAATTATCTGAAAAGACTACTAAGATATTTATCTTTTCTGCAAACCCGTATTT